ATTCAAATAAAGTATTTAATCGCCAGATGTCCCCCACCAATACTACCCTGCTCCTATATTTAAATAAAGTATTTATTCACCAGATGTCCTCCACCAATACTACCCTGGCTATGTTATATTCAAATAAACTATTTATTCACCAGATGTCCTCCACCAATACTACCCTGCTCCTATATTCAAATAAAGTATTTAATCACCAGATGTCCTCCACCAATACTACCCTGGCTATGTTATATTCAAATAAAGTATTTGTTCACCAGATGTCCTCCACCAATACTACCCTGGCTATGTTATATTCAAATAAACTATTTATTCACCAGATGTCCTCCACCAATACTACCCTGCTCCTATATTCAAATAAAGTATTTATTCACCAGATGTCCTCCACCAATACTACCCTGCTCCTATATTCAAATAAAGTATTTAATCACCAGATGTCCTCCACCAATACTACCCTGCTCATATATTCAAATAAAGTATTTAATCACCAGATGTCCTCCACCAATACTACCCTGCTCCTATATTAAAATAAAGTATTTATTCACCAGATATCCTCCACCAATACTACCCTGCTCCTATATTCAAATAAAGTATTTAATCACCAGATGTCCTCCACCAATACTACCCTGCTCCTATATTCAAATAAAGTATTTAATCACCAGATGTCCTCCACCAATACTACCCTGCTCCTTTATTCAAATAAAGTATTTAATCACCAGATGTCCTCCACAAATACTACCCTGCTCCTATATTCAAATAAAGTATTTAATCACCAGATGTCCTCCACAAATACTACCCTGCTCCTATATTCAAATAAAGTATTTAATCACCAGATGTCCTCCACCAATACTACCCTGCTCCTATATTCAAATAAAGTATTTAATCACCAGATGTCCTCCACCAATAGTACCCTGCTCCTTTATTCAAATAAAGTATTTATTCACCAGATGTCCTCCACCAATAATACCCTGGCTATGTTATATTCAAATAAAGTATTTAATCACCAGATGTCCTCCACCAATAGTACCCTGCTCCTTTATTCAAATAAAGTATTTAATCACCAGATGTCCCCCACCAATACTACCCTGCTCCTTTATTCAAATAAAGTATTTAATCACCAGTTGTCCTCCACCAATACTACCCTGGCTTTGTTATATTCAAATAAAGTATTTAATCACCAGATGTCCTCCACCAATACTACCCTGCTCCTATATTCAAATAAAGTATTTATTCACTACATGTCCTCCACCAATACTACCCTGCTCCTTTATTCAAATAAAGTATTTAATCACCAGATGTCAACCACCAATACTACCCTGGCTATGTTATATTCAAATAAAGTATTTAATCGCCAGATGTCCCCCACCAATACTACCCTGCTCCTATATTCAAATAAAGTATTTAATCACCAGATGTCCTCTACCAATACTACCCTGGCTATGTTATATTCAAATAAAGTATTTAATCGCCAGATGTCCCCCACCAATACTACCCTGCTCCTATATTCAAATAAAGTATTTAATCGCCAGATGTCAACCACCAATAGTACCCTGGCTATGTTATATTCAAATAAAGTATTTAATCGCCAGATGTCCTCTACCAATACTACCCTGCTCCTATATTCAAATAAAGTATTTAATCGCCAGATGTCCCCCACCAATACTACCCTGCTCCTATATTTAAATAAAGTATTTATTCACCAGATGTCCTCCACCAATACTACCCTGTCTATGTTATATTCAAATAAAGTATTTAATCACCAGATGTCCTCCACCAATACTACCCTGCTCCTTTATTCAAATAAAGTATTTATTCACCAGATGTCCTCCACCAATACTACCCTGCTCCTATATTCAAATAAAGTATTTAATCACCAGATGTCCTCCACCAATACTACCCTGGCTATGTTATATTCAAATAAACTATTTATTCACCAGATGTCCTCCACCAATACTACCCTGCTCCTATATTCAAATAAAGTATTTAATCGCCAGATGTCCCCCACCAATACTACCCTGCTCCTATATTTAAATAAAGTATTTATTCACCAGATGTCCTCCACCAATACTACCCTGGCTATGTTATATTCAAATAAACTATTTATTCACCAGATGTCCTCCACCAATACTACCCTGCTCCTATATTCAAATAAAGTATTTATTCACCAGATGTCCTCCACCAATACTACCCTGCTCCTATATTCAAATAAAGTATTTAATCACCAGATGTCCTCCACCAATACTACCCTGCTCATATATTCAAATAAAGTATTTAATCACCAGATGTCCTCCACCAATACTACCCTGGCTATGTTATATTAAAATAAAGTATTTATTCACCAGATATCCTCCACCAATACTACCCTGCTCCTATATTCAAATAAAGTATTTAATCACCAGATGTCCTCCACCAATACTACCCTGCTCCTATATTCAAATAAAGTATTTAATCACCAGATGTCCTCCACCAATACTACCCTGGTCCTTTATTCAAATAAAGTATTTATTCACCAGATGTCCTCCACAAATACTACCCTGCTCCTATATTCAAATAAAGTATTTAATCACCAGATGTCCTCCACAAATACTACCCTGCTCCTATATTCAAATAAAGTATTTAATCACCAGATGTCCTCCACCAATACTACCCTGCTCCTTTATTCAAATAAAGTATTTAATCACCAGATGTCCTCCACCAATAGTAACTTGCTCCTTTATTCAAATAAAGTATTTAATCACAAGATGTCCTCCACCAATAATACCCTGGCTATGTTATATTCAAATAAAGTATTTAATCACCAGATGTCCTCCACCAATAGTACCCTGCTCCTTTATTCAAATAAAGTATTTATTCACCAGATGTCCTCCACCAATAATACCCTGGCTATGTTATATTCAAATAAAGTATTTAATCACCAGATGTCCTCCACCAATAGTACCCTGCTCCTTTATTCAAATAAAGTATTTAATCACCAGATGTCCCCCACCAATACTACCCTGCTCCTTTATTCAAATAAAGTATTTAATCACCAGTTGTCCTCCACCAATACTACCCTGGCTTTGTTATATTCAAATAAAGTATTTAATCACCAGATGTCCTCCACCAATACTACCCTGCTCCTATATTCAAATAAAGTATTTATTCACTAGATGTCCTCCACCAATACTACCCTGCTCCTTTATTCAAATAAAGTATTTAATCACCAGATGTCCTCCACCAATACTACCCTGGCTATGTTATATTCAAATAAAGTATTTAATCGCCAGATGTCCCCCACCAATACTACCCTGCTCCTATATTCAAATAAAGTATTTAATCGCCAGATGTCAACCACCAATAGTACCCTGGCTATGTTATATTCAAATAAAGTATTTAATCGCCAGATGTCCTCCACCAATACTACCCTGCTCCTTTATTCAAATAAAGTATTTATTCACCAGATGTCCTCCACCAATACTACCCTGTCTATGTTATATTCAAATAAAGTATTTAATCACCAGATGTCCTCCACCAATACTACCCTGCTCCTTTATTCAAATAAAGTATTTATTCACCAGATGTCCTCCACCAATACTACCCTGCTCCTATATTCAAATAAAGTATTTAATCACCAGATGTCCTCCACCAATACTACCCTGCTCCTATATTCAAATAAAGTATTTAATCACCAGATGTCCTCCACCAATACTACCCTGCTCCTTTATTCAAATAAAGTATTTAATCACCAGATGTCCTCCACCAATACTACCCTGGCTATGTTATATTCAAATAAAGTATTTATTCACCAGATGTCCTCCACCAATACTACCCTGCTCCTATATTCAAATAAAGTATTTATTCACCAGATGTCCTCCACCAATACTACCCTGCTCCTATATTCAAATAAAGTATTTAATCACCAGATTTCCTCCACCAATACTACCCTGCTCATATATTCAAATAAAGTATTTAATCACCAGATGTCCTCCACCAATACTACCCTGCTCCTATATTAAAATAAAGTATTTATTCACCAGATATCCTCCACCAATACTACCCTGCTCCTATATTCAAATAAAGTATTTAATCACCAGATGTCCTCCACCAATACTACCCTGCTCCTATATTCAAATAAAGTATTTAATCACCAGATGTCCTCCACCAATACTACCCTGCTCCTTTATTCAAATAAAGTATTTATTCACCAGATGTCCTCCACAAATACTACCCTGCTCCTATATTCAAATAAAGTATTTAATCACCAGATGTCCTCCACCAATACTACCCTGCTCCTTTATTCAAATAAAGTATTTAATCACCAGATGTCCTCCACCAATAGTACCCTGCTCCTTTATTCAAATAAAGTATTTAATCACAAGATGTCCTCCACCAATAATACCCTGGCTATGTTATATTCAAATAAAGTATTTAATCACCAGATGTCCTCCACCAATAGTACCCTGCTCCTTTATTCAAATAAAGTATTTATTCACCAGATGTCCTCCACCAATAATACCCTGGCTATGTTATATTCAAATAAAGTATTAAATCACCAGATGTCCTCCACCAATAGTACCCTGCTCCTTTATTCAAATAAAGTATTTAATCACCAGATGTCCCCCACCAATACTACCCTGCTCCTTTATTCAAATAAAGTATTTAATCACCAGTTGTCCTCCACCAATACTACCCTGGCTTTGTTATATTCAAATAAAGTATTTAATCACCAGATGTCCTCCACCAATACTACCCTGGCTTTGTTATATTCAAATAAAGTATTTAATCACCAGATGTCCTCCACCAATACTACCCTGCTCCTATATTCAAATAAAGTATTTATTCACTAGATGTCCTCCACCAATACTACCCTGCTCCTTTATTCAAATAAAGTATTTAATCACCAGATGTCCTCCACCAATACTACCCTGGCTTTGTTATATTCAAATAGAGTATTTAATCACCAGATGTCCTCCACCAATACTACCCTGCTCCTTTATTCAAATAAAGTATTTAATCACCAGATGTCCTCCACCAATACTACCCTGGCTACGTTGGCTGGTGGATTTGTTCCCATGCTGTTGAAAAACGTTTTGTCGACTAGGGGTGCGAGGCTAAGTCTGAAGACGGTCAGTTTCAAGGGTCAGATGGACGAGATTATCGACGAATTCACGCAGTCCTGGCCTGTGTTGGACTTAATTGTTGAAAGATTTACACCCGAGGAAAAGGGTACAGAGGGCGAAATGAAAATCGAGAAAGAAATCACTGAAAAGGAAGAGAAAAATGAAATATTGGGCCAAGTTAGAGGACCTGGTGACGTCATCATGGCTAGCGGAAATGAGGAGAATGTGGTTGACCTATTTATAGACTTGAGTGTGGCCGACACCGCTGGCTGGTCCATCTACGGGTCTGTAGAAGAACTGTCCTCTGGCTCGGAGATATTCATGCCACCTTATTTTGAGCCCGACGTGTCGACAGAGCCTCAGCATCAACCACGGCCACAAGTCACACAGCTAGCGGTAGTAACTCCCGTCATTGTCATGTACTCACACGATGATGACCACTGATGATCAAAACTTGTTTACATGAGTCTTTGGAGTCATTCAAACATCGTTTGCATTTTGTTGCATTGTATTAAATAGACTACTTTTATTTAACTGTAATAAAATACAAGACAAAGTAAAATATTATGAGGAACTTCGTGTACACACCCCTCCCCCCCCCCCCTCTAACCCATGTACACACTCCCCCCCCCCCCCCCCTTTTTTTTACATTTAAATGTTCCTATGCTATTCTGATATTTAATTAATAAAATGAGTAAACATCTTGACCTTATTTTCCAAACTTACTACGGCCAATATGGCAGTAGGTATTTTGGAATTCAGCCATTTTGACATTTATTATCCTGGCATACTAAGATATACAAATTGTATTGTTTTACAAATAAAAAAAAAAGGCTTCGGGGAATTTTGACGTGTTGACCTCCCGTCATGTGTGTGTGTCTATAAGTCTGTGTGTTTCTGTGTCTGTGTGTGTGTGTCTTTCTGTCTGTCTGTATTAGTAGCGGATTAAGACGGTGTTGAAAGGGTTGCAGTCAGGGGTCCCAGATTTTTACGGGCCGTCAAATTTACCGCATAATTGTTGGTTTCCACTATAAATACTAAATTTTTAATGTTTGCATCACAAGCTTCAATGTTTTTTTTTTACAAATATCTGTGTCACAGACCTTTCTCCTACCTTTTATATTACACATACAAAATCAAAAGACAAGCCTTCTTTTGCAGTTTTTCATATTTATTTTGTTTTCATACAGGCAGCGTGTTCACTCAAGCTATGCCATCTTCTTGCCTCCTTTCTCTCCTGTTCCTTTCGCGCATGCGCACAGCCACTGTCTCCCTGATGCAATCTCGCCTTTTTTACAACACACGCACTCCCAAGATACAATCCACCATCATTTCACTGTTATACGCCCTTTCTCCCGTTTAAAAAATTGATTTATTAATTTTTTTTTTGTTATATAGATCACATTCACTATAAAATCTTCATGATACATGTAACAGTGAAATGGAAATAATGTTGAAAAAGAAACCTGCTAATGAACATCCTAAATTATTTTATATGTACACTTTTTAAATTTAAACAATGATATTCATAAAATACATGGCAAAGTGTAAAGCGTCACTTATCTTATAAGTATCGCCATTAAGAAAAATTGTAACTTAGGTAAACCTTCTTAGTTTAGTAAGAACAAATGACTCTAACTAAGGAACATCTCCTCTTAGTGTAACAAAAAAAGAAATCATTAAACCTCACTAAGGAATATTGCCTCTTAGTGTATCTCAAATAAATCTAACTTAGGAAAACTCTATTTTAGTAGAACAAAATTATAGCTATGCAATAGCTCCCATGGGCAAATCATATCCTTGATTTCCCTACTTCACTGGCTGAGGTAAACTCCTCATCATAACATATGTAAATTACCACATCTGTCAGCTCATACTGCCATAATCATGTTTATTACTTAACAAGATATACAGTATACATACAAATCATAAAAATACAACAAAATGTATGTTCATTTTCATTACTAAATTAAAATAGTGATAAAACATATTTATAAAGGTCATATTATGACTTATTCCTATCCTGCTCACATTTGTAAAATGTTAATGTTCTCTGGAAGTACACATCACATACTACATTATTCAAAATTTCCTTATAAGGATTGACTGATATGTCTCAGGTCATTATTTTCTTTAGTCAGTTCCATGTTTGTTTTTTCATCTTCAATCTGTCTTGATAAAAAATCAGCTAGTGTATTGTGCTGTCCCTTTACTGTTTTTATCTCAAACTTGAAATCTAGTAAAATCAGTGCCCATCTATTTATTTTGCTATTCATTATCATTTTCTTATTGATTGTGATCAATGGCTTGTGATCTATTCTGAGAGTAAAGTGTCTTCCCAATAAATACTTCTGTAATTTACTCAATGCCCATACAATTGCTAGACACTCTTTCTCAATCACTGCATATCTTTGTTCTGTTGGTGATAATGCCCTGCTGATGTATTGTACTGGGTATAGTTTATTGCCCTTTTCTTGCATTAAGCAGGCTCCTAACGCTACATTTGATGCATCAGTAAAAAGAGTGAAATGCTTACTAAAATCTGGTGACATTAGTACCTTGTCACTCATGAATTCAGCCTTTATTTTATTTAAGGCACTTTCACATTCCTGTGTCCATACTAGTTTAACTTTGTCTTTGGATAGCAATTCTCTTAAAGGAGTAGTAAGTTCAGCATATTTATCCACAAAAATATTATAAAAATTGCATAGTCCCAACAATGCTTTCACTTCTTTCTTTGTACTAGGAGTTTTGATATTTAATATTTTGTCCTTATTTCCTTCAGTAGGTCCAATTTCTTTATTTCTAATCTTAAATCCTAAGAATTCTACTGTATGTACTCCCACATGCAGTTTCTGTCCTTATTCTTTCTAGTAGTTCTTTTAGTGTTTGTATGTGTTCTTGTCTCAACCGCTGCTCCAATTTGACTTTCCCATCTAACTATATCTTCCTGATTACTTTCTTTCACCTCCTTTACATTCCCAATAATCATGTCTGCTATTGGTTGTTCCATGACTGCCACTTTATATTTACCTTTCAGCCAAGCAGAATCTATATCAACTACTGCCATCTTACACTCATCCCTAAATTTCTTGTTGGCATATGTCATCTTTATTATGCCAGGAATGTATTGTTCAGGTCTTACAAGACTTTTCTTAACAATAATGCATGTGCAACCTGAATCTCTCAGGCACATTACTCTGACATTGTTTACTTTAGCTGGGAACATCTTCAGTGTTGTATTGCTTTGACTAACAGATGCCACCATCTCTAACCTTTCTACTCCTGCTGATATCTCTTGATGATTATTTCTACTAATTCTATTTTCTCCCCTGTTGTCTGGTTCCATTCCTGGCTGTCTACTTTGATTGTGGAATTCATTTCTACTTTGTCCATTATACTGTTCTTGTCTGTAATAATTACTTTGATTTCTATAGTTGTTATTAGGTGCATAACCTCCTCTGTAATTATTGCTAAGATATGTAACTCTATTTTGTGAGCTGAGACACTCAGACTTTACATGGCCTTTTTTCCACAGTTGTAACACTCTATGCTTCTGCTATATTTATACCTGTCTGGTTTCCATGTGGTAGGTGCACTGTTACTTCTATCTCTCTTGCTGTTGCCATACCTTCTTTGATCCCTGCTAGAGTTTCTATTGTAGACTGCTGCTGAAATCTCTCCCTGCTCTCTTTTGTCCAAAATAGCCCCTGGATGTGCATCCTTATAAATATTAAGGTGCTCTATTAATTGTTTCTGTGTCCTAACTTGTCTTTCACTCAAAAAAGTGAATAAACTATCTGTTGCATTATTTAAAACATGATCTATCAGGTTGAGTTCAATAATTGCTTCAGGATTCTTTAAATCTATTTCTGCCAATTCTAGCCTTTTGTTCATGCATTTGCGAATGTCAAAAATGATCTGGTTTATGTCACCAGTGTTGTTAATTCTAGCATCTCTTATAGTCTTTCTGTAATAGTCTTCTGTCTTTCCAAAATGTTTCATCAATCTTTCTTTTACTAGGTCATAGTCTTCTTTTTCAGCCTCAGACATACTTGCTATTATGGCAATAGTCTCTCCTGTCAAATTAGTCAATAAAGCCTGTGCCTTCCCAGCAGATGAATAATTAAAACTCTTACATGTTTGCTCAAAGTGTATTAAGTAAGTTTCCACACTTTCGTCCTGTGGTTTAAATGCTCTGAATTTAGGCTTCCAATGGTCCGTTTTGTTAACAGTGCTGTCTTGAGATCGGTTACTTTTAATTTTTTCTAATTCTAACTCATGTTGTCTCTGTTTTTCTCTATCTTCGGCTTCTATTTTAGCTAGATTTAGTTCCTTATCAGCCTCCATTTTAACTTTAGCGAATCCCCTCTCTAAAGCTCTTTCTTCCCTTTCAGCTGCATCCGATATTTTTTTTCTGCTATTTTATCTTCAACCCATTTGGCCTTTTCTGCCCTAATGTATCCTAAAGAGTCAGCCAACTCCATGTATTTAGCATAGAGATCGAACTCCATCGTAATGATGCAAGCACAGTTATTCAGTTACAATACTAAATCTAGATTTAATTCTTTCCTTCACGGTGTGAGCACTGACCACTTCTGACACCAAAATGTCACAACCTTTTTGTGTGACTGGGTTCACGTTATAGACTAAAAGGAAATACCAAAATACCTTGAACCCCCCCCCCCCCATCCCCGCAAGATTTCGATTTGCACCCCCCCCCCTCAAACTTGATGTGTACCCACCCCCTCAAGATTTCGATTTGCACCCCCCCCCCTCAAACTTTCGATTTGCACCCCCCTCATCCTTTCAATTTATTTTTCCAACCCATTTTGGCGCCCCCTAAGGTCGGCGCCCGGGGACATATGTCCACCCCCCCCCCCCCCTCTTGCTACGCTACTGCAGTGTCACTTATCGTCACACAAAAAACAGACCCCACATTCAAAAATATGTTTTTTATCTTTTAAAAACACCGAAAACACCGATTTCGGACTATCCCTTCATATACTGACGTCACAGGTGAGCTACTCATTTCTACTTCACCTGCCCAGTGTCCCGCCAAGTCTCAGACAACATGTTTTTATCGGTTCAAAAACTATTCCAGCCGAGCATGTCTCTGACCACACTATCCCTTCATATGCTTAGGACAAAGAAACAGATGAACTCTACTTCAACTGCCCTGTATCCCGCCAAGTTCAGATAGGCAACTTTATCATTCACATCTAAAAAAATAAAATAAAAATTGAAAAAAAAAATTATCATAGACGTGTTGGTCTAGAACCTGTGCCCCCCACATGAGAGCCGATTACACTAACAACTTAGCTATTTACTCGTGACGTCACAGATGAATTTTTATACTATACTTTAATACTTTGAGTCTCCTTATGCAACTTGAGTTACGCGCATAGATCTAGATCTAAGTCTAGAGTAGTAGTAACTTTCAAATTAAATTTTATCTTAAATTAGCCAAACAAAGATTTATATAAAATAAAGAAGGTCTAAATTATCTAGATCTAGTATAGATCTAGATTCTACGACTCGTTTGCTTAAGTCTAGAATCTAGTAGATCTAGATC